AGCTCCATTTTCTGCTGGCTTTTTGAGCATGTCGGGAATCAATGTATCTAGGCTTTTGCCTAGAAAAAAATGTATTAGACTGCCCCAAGTAACGAAAACTGTGTATCAAATGTCCTTTGTGCCGACTGCCATTAGAATTTCATTAATAATTGAGTTTTTAATGTGGTTTATGTGATGATATTGAATGTATTTGTGTTGCCTGTTTTTCTGTGATATATGTGATGTGAGCGCTGATGTGGTGAAGCCAAAGATCATTTTAAAACCTGCAAACCTGTCAAAGTGCAGGTCATATCCACAGGCCAGGATCGCCCGCCAAACACTGCGGATGTCCTGCTTGGCTCTGTCTAGAGTAAACTTGTGGAAAACTTACAGCGTCAAAAACTTCTCTTCTGGCACTGTTGAGAAACATCGAGATAAAAGCAGATCATTCACACATTTGATCGAGCGCCTGCTTGAAGTTTTCATAGGATGTGCGCACACCGACCCTATTTTCAATCACTTACTTTTAGATTCTTACTAAGGAATATACAACTAAATACAAAATCATTTGCCCATTTGTGAAATAGTTTTTCAAAAACAACTCTTATACATAATTATTTAATAATTCTATGGAGACGGCGGATAATATTTCCTTAGCTATTTCTCTAGATAGTAGTATTCAGCTTAAAGCAACATTTAAAGGCTTAACTAGGTTATTTGGTCAATTAGACAGGTCGTTGTATAACTTGAACTTAAAATTCTGTAGCCAATCAAACAGCTAGCTAGCCGGCAGCTCCCACATGGTCGCCCACTGAAGCTAAGCAGGGCTGTGCTTGGTCAGTACCTGGATGGGAGACCACATAGAAAAGCTAGGTTGCTGCTGGAAGTAATATTAGTGAGAACAGTAGGGGGTGCTTAACCTGTGGTCTGCTTGGGTCCTAACGCCCCAGTATAGTGACGGGGTCTCTATACTGCTTAGATGTTAAAATGAGGTCCTGATCCTCTGTGGTCGTTAAAAATCCCTGGAAAAAGAGAAAAAAAATGTCCTGCGGAAAAGAGTTGGGGTTTCACCCTGACATCCTGGCCAAATTTGGCCTCCTAACCATCCACATATTATAATTAGCTTAATCTTAATCTGTCTCCTCTCCACCAATAAGCTGATGCGCAATATGGCTGCCGTCAAGTCATCCAGATGGATGCTGCACACTGGCGGTGCATGAGGAGATTCCAGCAAGAATGTGTGTAAAGCGCTTTGAGTGTCCAGAAAAATGCTATATAAGTGAAAGGAATTAAAATATATATTTATTATAGGGGGGCTAATATTATTGACCTATTTCCCAGCTAAACTAGGACAAATAAGATTTTCTCCAGAAAAAAAATATTTACCAAGAAACATCATGAAAAATGTCCTTGCTCTGTTAAAAAGCACTAGAGAAATATTTCACAGGGATAATACACTTCTTCAACGGCTAATATATTAAAATATACTTAACAAGTATAGAATATAAATGTAATAAACGGCAGTTAAATAAAAGTTTCAATACAAAATTAAATGTGATTAGCTGACAAGAGTGTTTTAAGCCAGTGGTTCCCAACCTGGGGGGCGCCAGAGTTCACAGGGGGGGCGCGGGAGAGGATAAGTATTGAGGTAGAAAAAGGCATAAAAATGCTCCACTATTATAAAGGGCTTTGCAATTAATCGAAAATCCGATTTAGATTTCGGTTTCAAACGATTATAAAAAAGCATTAATCGAGATAAATGATTATTGCATCATATTTCGCCACAGTTGTACACGTGTTGCTCCTAAAAGCGCGAAAGAGCTTATGTGTGTGTGCAGCACGATCACGCAGTCAGAAGCATGCAGCCGGTCAGCATTCGCTCTCATTCGCACACTGAGACGAGCAGAGGAGCGCAGACATCTAAAGTCATCTTAACGTGAACGCTTTAATGGTCAAATAGGTGTCAAAACGCGGTGTTTAGTGATTATTTACATTAACCCTCATTTGTGTAATAAACAAACGAGTTGAGGATCAAAAGACGTGAAAGAGAAACCTATGAAGAGACATTGCGCTATAATCCTTCTGCCGGCTGTTTTTATCATTATTAAACAAACATAACGAGAAAACCCTCGCTGCTCTTGACTGAAGGACTGCTTTAGCTAAAGTGTTTTTCTTAAAGTGAAGATGCTTAAAGCACAGTTTGTTTCATATTTTTATTATATTGTATTTATTTATCTTTCCTTTGCAGGGTGGAAAATAACTGTATATATACACTTGAAGTCAGAATTATTAGCCCTCTTGAATATAAGCAAACCTTTTCCTGCCCAATTTCTGTTTCATGGAAAGAATATTTTATTAACTTATTTCTGAACATAATAGTTTTGATATCTCATTTCTAATTACTGATTTCTTTTTGTCTTTGCTATGATGACAGCACATAATATTTTACTAGATATTTTTCAAAATACAACCATTCAGATTAAAGTGCAGTTCAAAGGCTTAATTAGAGTAATAAGGCAAGTCATTATAACGGTAGTTTATTCTGCAGACAATCAAAAATATATAATGCTTAAGGGGGCTAATAATATTGACCTTAAATTGGTTTCAAAATATTTAAACCTGTCTTTATTCTAGCTAAAATAAAACAAATATTATAGGAAATACTGTTAAAATTCCTTGCTCTGTTAAACATAATTTGGGAAATATTTATAAAAAAAATAAATAAAAATCTCAGAAGCGCTTATAATTTTGACTTTAACTGGCAATGGTTTTGAATAATCGTGATTACAATTATGACCAAAATAATTGTGATTATGATTTTTCCCAAAATCGAGCAGCCCTACTATTATATATGTATGGGTTAGGGTTAAGTACCAAAAAAATAAAAAATAATCTAAACACATGCGTAAAATTCCAACATAATAGTGAAAATAATTAAAATAAATAACTTTAAATAATTATTTTAATTTTGGTCACTCGCGCAATCTGCTTGTCATCGTGTCGTAAAGGCAAAATCAAAACAAAAATGTCAGACAAATGTAAATGCAGTGATACTTCAGAGGCAAAGAAAAAGATTAGACAGTATGACAAAGCCTACCTAAATTTTGGTTTTATTGAAGGCCAAGACAAGTTAAAACTGATTAATTAATATTTTTTATAGATATTACTATATATTAATATTACACAAACACACACACACGAATATATATATACACACAGTACATATCTGTGTGCGTGCGTGTGTATTTATATGGTGGGGGGGCTCCAATGTTTGTATATGTTCATGGGAGGGGCCCCCAAGAAAAAGGTTGGGAACCACTGTTTTAAGCTATCTATACTTTTTATATGTTGCCTGATTACAGTGGTATACAGTAACATGCTTTTATGACGAACTACAATGTACTTTCAAGTAATTTCCACTTAACATGTAGGAAATCAATGCATGTGCATTTGTGGGGGGTAGTAGTACCAACTTTTTGCTAGTAGTTTGGTAATACATGCTTCAGTGAACTAAATGTATGAATGTATTAAAATAACATTTCAATTTTTCATTTTCTTGTCGGCTTAGTCCCTTTATTAATCCAGGGTCGCCACAGCGGAACGAACCGCCAACTTATCCAGCAAGTTTTTACGCAGCGGATGCCCTTCCAGCCACAACCCATCTCTGGGCATAAGTTTTCAGTGTTTTGAGGGATATTTAGTGACTTTTAGAGGTTACTGTAGGTCAAACTATACAAATTATGTGTCCATTTTTTTTTTTATTAGGCTACATGCCGATAAAAACACTTACAGTATTTTACAAGAAATGTACTTTGTGTATACTTTAGATGGTATTGGTCCTCAAGAGCTGCTATTTTCAGACTGTTGAATGATATTTTCCTAGCTTTGATTGGCACGATTATGCATTTACAATGCTATGAACCGCTCAAATCTATATTTACATTATACTTTTTTATTATTAATATTAAGGACATAGATCAGAGAAAGCATTTTCTTACTATTAACGTGCTGACCCACCTCTCATACATCTTGTTTTAAAGTCCTTCAGAGGCTTTCAAGCGTTATTGGAGGGGGTCAAACCCCCCTAACCCCCTGTAATTCACACCTTGGTTATATTCACACACTGCTGCCACACAACTGTTTAAACCACTTATAAAAGTGATTTAGCATAATAGGCCCCCTTTAAGATCTTATCACTTCAGGCCAACAGGTGCCAACAAGTCAATATCTACATCATACAATATACTTCAAATCATTTTCACTGAAACATGCATGTTTAACCACATTTCTTAAACAAATCACATATTTTAAGCCAGCGTTTAAGGGACAGTTCACACAGAAATGAACATTTACTCATCATTCACTCACACACAAGTGGTCTTAAACCTTGAATTTCTTTCTTCTGTTGAACACAAAAGAAGATATTTTGAAGAATGTTGTAAAAAAAAAAACAGCCAAACTTTATTTTGATGGTCAGTTTGTTGAATTTAAGTTACATTGCATCTACAGTACATGGCAACTAATTCTCATTAGACTGTTGGGTTGGGGTTAGGGTAAGTTGACATGCACTTGAAAAGTTTCTTATAGTCAGTTAAATGTCTGTTGAAGGAGCAGAATCAGCAGATATTAAGCAGACAGTCTACTAATACTCAAAATAAAAATGATCTAACCATCAAAATAAAGTGGTACAGAAAAAACCCACAATAGTAGGAACGAAAAATACTACGGAAGTCAACAGCTGCTTTTTTCCAACATTCTTCAGAATATCTTCCTGTACAGACATTATTAGAACCCACTGTACATTATAATTGAAATCCTGATTTGCAATTCTACATTTGATTGTTCTTTGATGCAGTCCTTCTTCTCAAACGGTCTATAAGTTATTGTCTAACACATCAATAGATGTGAAAAAAATCCTATTGTTTACTTCTGTGTCTGGAACAAAGTGCTATTATGCTTCTCTTGGATGGATATAAATTACAAGGCTGAGCTTTACTGCTGAATGAGACACACACAAGACAGTTTATTCAATTCACATTTATTGCAAGTGTTTGGCCTGCTGGGGAAATCAAGTTCTTTCTGGAGCAGTGATTGGTCACTCTGGGGATGATGAGTGGAGATCGTGAGGCAGGCCTTATCGTCTGGAAGAGAACAGAGTCAAGAAAATCAGTGTCGATGTCTAAATGAAGCTGAATTTGGGTATGAATTAACATGACCTCTGACCCACAGAGAATTCTATATATACATATGTGTGTGTGACCTACAGCATGTTCCAGAAGTGTTACTAAGCTCAGTCAGATGTCATGTCACTTAAATGAGATGAAATTACCTTTTAGAAAGTGTCCACACTAGCTCCTGCTCCTGAAGTAGGCATAAGCAGCACAGACACCTATGCCGACTCCGACCCAGGCTGCTGGACTGCTCACCGCAGCTTTCACAGCACTTTTCACATTGTTGGAGATCCTTCTTCCCCATGAAGACTCGCTGTTCGCTCTCTCCTCTGTTTCATCAGCGGCCTCTCTCTCTGTTTCTTCACTGGTCTTTCTCTCCTCTGTTTCTCCAGCTGTCTCTCTTTCCTCTGTTTGTCTTGGAGAGCTGCTGTCATTATCTGAGAGGACCTCAATTGTCTTGTCTGGGCCCCACATGATGATCAGAGGTTTATTCAGTAAATCAGTGAAGTTCAGAGCTTTTTGTGCTCGCACTGCATCACGTCGATGATGGAAAGTCACAAAGGCATAAGCAGGAGAGATGATGTTGTTTCTGCACACTTGCACAGTCGAGATGGACCCCAATGCACCAAACTTTTCAATAAGCTGTTGTTCGGTGACCATTGGGTGCAGATTGCTCACGAGCAGTGTCTTCCGCTCAATAAAGCGGCTCGTGGGGACCACAGGATCTGGTTGCTGGTCCCGTCCTAAATGCTCAAAAGTCACATAAATGTGTCTGCAATTAGTGTCTTCATCAAAAGAAAAATCCAAAGAGTGGATTTGGCTGAACTGTTTCATTGACTCAATCAGTTCTTGTTCGTCCACATCTGGGTCCAAATTCAGAACAACCGATGACCACTCGTGATGAGGGTTGTCTGAAGACTGATTATAGTAAGTATCCATAGCGAACGAGTCTTTCACAATCACAGATTTGTCAATTCGTACAGTAACTGTGTGATTTACCAAGTCACCGTCCTGAATGCTGGCAAACTGAGATGAGCTGTTTTAACATAGAACTACTTTAGAACACATTCTATGACTGTCGTTGCTAAGCAACCATCAGCTGGGAGCGCTTGTGTGCGCACACAAACAGGATTCTAAATTGTTTATAAATGAATCTTAATCTGTTGACTATTAGATAAACTATTTATTACTATTGTTTTATCCTACAGATGATTGTTAATGTGCTGTTAATTATTATTTATTAGAAAAACCACCACTACTATGTCAATTGTTTTTATATGTCCTATTTAATGTAAGCATCACAAATGCTTTTGAGATACATATGGAACATTTGTCAAGCCAATAAAATAATCTGAAAACATTGACTTTCTCTGTGTGTGTGTTGGTATTTTTAAAGTTTTAACATATACATTTATTGAAAAATAACCCGTTTCTGTTGGTTTACAGAAGCTTTTAGCAGAAACCTTTGTCTCCTCAGCTGCTTCAGTTTATTTAATGAAGGATTGAGTGCGGAACAGTTTCTTATCTGAAGATATTCGGTCACAGAACTAAACCTACCTGCAAGAGTGATTTATATTTGACTGAATAGAGTTGATAAAATAATAATTTTCACGGGTGTAAAATTCCTAAATTCACCTCTCACACCATATCCCTTATTAATCTTCTGTATATACTTAGAAATAATGTATGTATGTATGTATGTGTATACAGTTGATGTCAGAATTATTAATCCCCGTTTATTGTTTTTCCCAATTTCTGTTTAAGAGAGAGAAAATTATTTCAACACATTTCTAATCATAACAGATTTAATAACTCATTTCTAATAACTGATTTATTTTATCTTTGCCATGATGACAGTAAATAATATTTGACTAGATATTCTTCAAGACACTTCTATACAGCTTAAAGTGACATTTAAAGGCTTAACTAGGTTAATTAGGTTAACTAGGCAGGTTAGGGTAATTAGGCAAGTTATTGTATAACGACGGTTTGTTCTGTAGACTATAAAAAAAATAAAGCTTAAAGGGACTAATAATATTGACCTTAAAATGGTGATTTAAAAAAAGCTGCTTTTATTCTAGCTGAAATAAAACAAATAAGACTTTCTCCAGAAGAAAAAATATTATCAGACATACTGTGAAAAAGTGCTTGCTTTGTTAAACATCAATTGGGAAATACTTTTAAAAAAGGGGAAAAAAATGACTTCAACTGTATGTATGTATAAATAAATACATAAATATATGTATAAGATTGCAGCTTTAAATATTTAATCGGTCACACTTAGCAATAAGATTTCATTAGCCTCCTAAAACCCAGTGCTATTTTGGGATTTCCACCTGGTTTTTGCCTACCCAAATTTAAAAGCTTCCAAAATCCACACGCAGAGGTGTAAATGCAAAAATTTAGTATCATTTTAAAGAAAACCCTTTGAATTTTCATAAAGCACTATAGAAAGTGTTCAAAATAACTGTTATCTGTGTTAGACTGGAGCGTTTTAAAGCCGTGATTCATCAGCGGATTGCTCATATGTCAGCTTATAGTCAAATCAGCTGATGAATGTGAATTTAAAACACAGTGTCCTTGTATGTGTGGTTACACTCAGTAAATAGCAGTGAGTTCGGTAAACTGATTACCTTCACGGCCAATTGCAGTCATTTCTGTTGAGCATGTGAACACAATGGCAAATCAGTGCTGTTTAAGAAAGCGCTCAATGGCGCTCAAATGTTAGCGTGAAATGGAGGTTTTTAAACAGAATCACAGGCTCGTTCTGAAAACATAGTCCCGTGGACGTTTCTGGAGACAGCGAATTATGTAGCCGGAGGTACGTATGGTATGGCTCCATTAAATTTTTTTTAAACGAACGCTAACTGTGGAGGGCTTTCCCACCGCAACCAGTTTGTCCAGTTACCTCATCGTGTACGTCAACGGACTTGAGACGCCAGAGAGGAGTTGACCAGGATGACGATGATGACGAGATTCGAGTCCAGGGAAAAGCGGTTCCAGAAATCAGGTAAAACAAAAACAGAATCAAAAAAATAAAATGAATGAGTGAATAACAGGTTGAGAATGTGGTAAAATCCAAAAACATGGTAAAAATCAGACGAGGGCTTTTCTTTTTCTGGACGGCTTTTGAAAATCATTGGTTGAGTTTAGGGAAGTAAGTGAGTGGGCGGTTCAATCGATAAAATTGGTTGGATTTAGGGAAGGAGGAGGGTGGGTCAGTCAATTGGTCAGCTGGCCAGTTAGAAATTCAGTTCGGTCAACAGTGGCCTCCGGTGGGTTTACGCGTGGACAGCGGGCGCAAACGGCACTAGCGGGAGAACTTACTCAAGAAATTTGAGATCTGAAAAACACAGCAGCCTCTTGTGGATTCGCGAAAACAAAAAGTGCAAAAATAATTACCTCCTGGGACGTATTTCGCGGTCTCCAGAAATGTCCATGGGACTACGCTTTCAGAATGAGCCTGTTTTTTTTTTAAAACTTCAGTATCGATTGGTACCGAATTCCAGTATCGTGACATTATAAAAGCACATTTAAGACACTTAAAGACTTAATGAAAAGGAAAACAAACTGTAGAAATAAACAAAACAGCAATGTGTTGAATGCAACATATAATGTCTAGGGCAGGGGTTTCCAGGATTGATTTTCTACACCTCTGGCTGTATAAACTCAAGAGCAAATTAAATAAGCATATCTCACCTAGCAGCTTCACCACCTGAATGAGTACAGAAGTGGGCATTGTGTCCAGCTCATCCTCAGAGCGCTCTATGGTTTCTCCTACACTGTAGGTTAGCAGCTGTTCAGTGAAGACCATCGCCAATGGAAACTCAAGAAGCAACGAGTGCAACACCAGCACTGCTCCAGGAGAGGGAGACACGCCTGTGGACAGAAATATAGATATGAGCTAAAGTCAGCAGGAATGGTCTTAATGAATCTGATTGTTCACTTAGAGAATGCAAAATAATGCAGATCACTGTTAAAATAAAATAAATGTACAGTGGGGAAAATAAGTATTAAACACGTCATGTTTTTCTAAAGGAGCTGCTGACATTGAATTGAACCAGATTTTGGTAAAAACCCAAACAATACAAACATAAACATAAAACAAAACCAAAAAATATGAGTTTTGTGTAATAACAATGAAATGACACAAGGAGAAAGTACTGAACTGTTGAAACGTATTTAATACTTTATATAAAAGGATTTTTTGGTGATCGCAGCTTAAAGACGCCTCTCACATGGAGACTGAAGCCTCATGCGTTGCTCAGGTGTGAGTTTCTCATAAACTTCAACAGAATGTCAAAATCTTGATTCTTCTGTGGGTCTCGTCTATTAAATCTGTCCTTTCTTGATGCGTGGAGTTTGCAATGCAGGTCGGAGGATACATGATCGCAACTTTAAACTGAGTTTTACTTTGCTGAAAAAATAAGAAAACGTGGGCTCGGACGAGCCATGCAGTTACAGAAATGCGGTTTGCCGCCTCAAATGGGGGCGCACCTTTTGAAAAGCTTCTTTTGGATCTTCTACGCAGAGTTGCGCGCGCAGCTGGGTTTTAAACTGTGGTGGCATGTCAACTACTGACTGACCAATGGTCTCCTGGCAAAGTTTGAGCGGGAGATTTTCTTTGTCTCTGGACCGCTAATATGCAAAATAAGGGTCCGTCTGAAAGCATGCGAAGAGACATTAACTCAGAGCATTAAATCATTTAAGCTGTATAGATTATGATCATGCGCTACGCATCATGTGTTGTAAAATGGCAGGAGAAACCTAACGGTATTAAACACGACAGTTTTAAGAAATACATCAACATGATTCACACATTCTTAGCTGGTATAGTGTCTTAAAAAGGGCATGAGAGAGAGATTCACATCATAGAAAAGTCCGAAATGAAATACAAAGTTTACAAACACATAACATTTACTTTTGGGCTGAATCAGGAGTTCTGAGTCCATTTCAGCGTCGGGAGCCTTGTGTGTGTGTCCCTGTGTGTCTGTGTGTCTCAGGAGGAAGGGGGGACAGGAATGTCTTTTGAAGTTTAGGCAACCATCTCTTTTGTGTTTTCGCAGTCTCCCGAGTTCCCAAGAACCTGTTTTAAGACGATGATGATGATGATGATGTGTGTGTGTGTGTGTGTGTGTGTGGTACCTGCAGGAAGCAGCAGATCTCTCCAGCAGACTGTCCTCCCCCTGATGCAGAGCTCTGCTGATGGCCATGCTCAGCCACTCGCGGACACTCTGAGCGTTTCCCTGATAGAAGAGCTCAGTCGGAGAGCAGCTCTAACCCTGCAGCTCATGCAGGACCGACTGAGCCAACAGCACAGAGTTACAGCTGATCCGGCCATCTATACACACACACAGGAGAGTAAGCAGACAGATTATGAGAAATTACTTCATCTTTCATTCATTCATTCATTTTTCATTCGGCTTAGGCCCCATTTACACTAATGCGTTTTAGTTTGAAAACGGCGTTTTAGATCAGAAACGATCCACGTCCACACTAGCGTTTCACCTAGCGTTTTTGAACATATCTCCGTCCGTACAGCACATGACCCATTTCTGTGTCCATGTTGTTGTTTACAGTGAAGGCTGGTCTGTTGTCTTCTGGTAGCGTTAAAGCCATGTGTTATAGTCATGTGATAGGGGCTTTGTGAATAAGGGAAGGATACGCAATGACACAAAAGCCCCAATCAAGTAGCGAATCTCAGCAGCCCTGCCTCCGTTTTCAGATGTCTGCGTTTTTCCCCCATCCACACTGAGACGGAGCAGCAGCATTTTAGAATGAAAACAGCCACTCCAGCATTTCCAAAACGCTCCGTTTTCAGGGCTCAAAAACCCTGGCATCGTGTGGACGGATGGCGTAACCGTAGCAAAACTTATGCGTTTTCAAACTAAAATGCATTAGTGTAAACGGGGCTTTAGTCTCTTTATTCATCAGGGGTCACCACAGCCGAATAAACCACTAACTATTCCAGCATATGTTACGCAGTGGATGCCCTTCCAGCCACAACCCACTACTGTGAAACACCCATCACATGCACACTCATACACTACAGCCAATTTAGTTAATCGATTCCCCTATAGCGCATGTGTTTGGACTGTGAGGGAAACCGGAGCACGCAGACAAAACCCACGCCAACACGGGGAGAACATGCAAACTCCACACAGAAACGCCAGCTGAGCCGAGGCTTGAACCAGCGACCTTCTTGCTGTGAGGCGACAGCACTACCTACTGCGTCACTGTTTCGCCAAAATAAAAACTGTCGAGGATAAAAACACAATAAATCCCTGGGCTTGTTTCCATTGCATTCCTCACAGTTAAATAAAACAAAGTATGGCTTCAAAATACAGATGATGCATAAAACAAACAGGACCTCCACATTTTAAAACAGGAACAAAATAATTCACAAATACAATTATTTCTTTATTCATTCCTTATTCTTTTCGGCTTAGTCCCTCTATTAATCAGGGAATGTGGAATGAACCATCAACTTATTCAGCATATGTTTTATGCCGTGGATGGCCTTCCAGCTGCAACCCTATTCACAATCAAGTAACATATCAAATAAAACATCCTCATCTACTATGCAAACTAATTATCCTCAACAAACAATCATCTTTTGATAGGTTTTTTAAACCTCCTTAAGTCTTTTATTTCCTTGACAGATTTTGGTAATTTGCTCCACATGTTTGCACTTGTATATAAAAACGTATTTTTCCCCAC